GAACAAATGTGCTATATAAGAGAAAGAACGTTGGACTTGGAATGAAGAGAAGTGAATTTACAATATTTTGTCATCTACTAGTTGTGTGACCTGAGGTAAATCATTTAACCTCTGTATGACTCAGCAATTGTATAACTTGAGGATAATAATCTGTCTACTTTTATCTATTTTAAATCTATTATTAAATTTTTTTTGGAAAATATTAATCTTTTTAAATTCTCAAAATCTGAAAGGCTCCACTTTCAAAACTCCTCAGAACGAGTCAAGGGAGCTTCTGTATCTAGTCTGGCATGTGGGAAAACACTACTGTCTAGGGCCCTGTTCCTTGAAGTGTGGTCCCCAGACTAGCAGCATGGCACTGCCTCGGAGCTGGTTGTAAACGCAGATTCTTGGGCCCAGACCTACTGAATCAGAGTCTGCATTTTAACAATATTCCAGCGCTTTAAACACACATTAAAATTTTCAGAGCATTCCCGTAGAGCTGACCTGCCTGTTGACATAGCGGTGGGGCAGTGAGAACCTTCTAGGCTTCTAGGTTCGCCTGAAAGGAAGAGCTGTGAGGATTTGTCTACATCGGAAAAGCTGTAGGGATTTGTCAGGTGTGGCTCATTCAAAACAAATGCCTGATTCGGTTCACAGGCTTAGTCACTATCTTAAAGAGTTAAAAGGATTTATGAAATGCCTAATTTATTACTAGAGAATAGCCCTCCGTTTAGGAAAAACTGTCTTTGTATCCAGAAAATATTCCGGGGATAGGAAAACATTTTGGAAATTCACAATTGGGAAATAAACGTTATCCTGCATTCCCACTTCGCAATTAGTCAGTGTTCATGTCGCACAATAAATTCCTTCCAACGTTTTGAGCACATACTATACGCTAAATGGGGAAGGAAGAAACTCTGCCCACAAGCTATTCATTCATATAAAAGCAACAGAAACTAGTATAAAAACACCTGTCTGTCACATCTGGCAGCTGTTTATACACTCATTCCAGAGAGTAGTACACCAAAGACTCAGCAGTCAAGTCCATAGCTCACACACTAAGGGTAGGAAATACCCCTGCATCGTTAGAATTGTGTCTGAGAAAAGCTGGGCATTAGTCTAGGTCTGGGCCACAGGGCTGAATCAATCAGATGAGCCACTGATTGCACAGCTCATAGGGGCTGACAGTAACAATGAACACAGAAGCAAATGGAAAGTTCTGGACAGTGGGAAATATTAGGAAGCAAATAAATCAGTGCAATGTGATCGGGGGGCGGGCCTTGGGGAAAGGGGGTCATGCTGTTTTACTGAGGCGCATCTCCACCAAGGTGAAAGATTACTGTGATTCAATTTGGATCACTGTTTCACTTGGGTTCCAATTAAAAGTACTGGTTGGTTTTCAAAATAACACAAAAGTCACATTTTACAATAATGCATTCAGATCTGTTTTTAGTAGGTAGAATCAACAAGATTGGGGAGAAGGTTATGAGTTCAGTTTGGACCCGGTTAGCATGAGAGCTCACCCAGGCAGTTGCACATATGGTTCCACAGCTCAGATGAGAATTCTGGAATGGTCATGAATTAGGAGCCCACAGGTGTAAAAAAGAAATGCAAGCCATTGGAATGGAGGACAGCTCCAGAGTGAGTCTGCAAAGCGGTAGGCGGTGCGCCAGATGTGGTGACCCGAAGCCAAGGGGCTGGAGTGAGAGTTTCAGGAAAGATGGAGTGGTCAGCACTCTTGACCTTTTTCCCAGCGAGCCCCTCCTCCAAGTTCCCTGCTTTGGGAAACGGGATTGCTCTTCATCCAGTGACACATGCCAGCGACTTCCATCCATTCCTGAAACCTCTTGTCTTTATTCCCCATAACCACTTGATCACCAGGTCTTATTGATTCTTCTCACTGAATATTTCTGAGTCTCTCTTCTCCCTCCCTTCATTCTCACCACCCAGTCCCACTACCGTCATCTCTTGCCTGCACTACCGCAGCACCCCCAGATGGTCTCCCTGCCCTTATTCTCCCCTACTCCACGTCATTCTTCTCATTAAGGGACAGAGTGAGCTTTTTCATAAACTCATGTATTTGTATGAGGCAAGGGGGAGCTGCATTGCTAATTCTTCCTTTGCTTTGGCTTTGCCTTCTATGCCCTGCACTCACTGTGCCTGGCCACTTTTTGGGTGGAGGGCTCCAAGGATATGAAAGACCCAATACTGGCCCGGTGCATAAATTAAGGCGAAGAAGAGAGAAACGGCCAATGGAAGCCTGACTACTAACCAGAAATTCAAGGCGTTTGCCTCCGAGCCACCAAGCCTAATCGCTGCCTGCTTCTCTGGCAGGGGATTTTCGTCATTCAGGAGAAACTTCCACTGGGAAAGAAATCAAAACTCTAACAAAATGGGGATTCTTATGCACAATATTTATCGTTCTTTAGCGCTTTGTGGTGTACTTTCTGGCACTGCTGTCATTTGACTGACAATGATCCCCTGGGCTGACATCTACTTTATATTCGAGGAAGCCAAGACTCCAGGAGGTTAAATGGCTTGCCCAAGGTCACATAACTAAAAGAAAAAATCAGTAGAAGAAAGTGACCAGAACCCACATCTAGTAAGATTGGGAAATAAAGACAAATAGAGAGAAAAAGAAAGTGTAGCCACCACCTCAAAGTCCCACAGTGGAAGCAAGCAAGCAAGTATTAGGATGTGGTGACGGGCACATGGCACCCCAGGGGCCCATCCTGAAGAGCAGCGGAGCAAAGCGAAGCCGAGCTTACTGGGTTGATCACCCTCGTAACAGGAACACAGACACCCCAAGTGAGACTGTAAAGAGAGATGCTGGAAGCCCAGCAATGCTCATTTATGGCCTTGACAAAAAACTCAAGCAGCACAGTTTGGACACATTAAGCCCAATGATACCTACAACGAGGCTTGCCTAAACCTTTTTAGAGGAATCGTAAGTCTGCATGCACACCATTTTTAAGAATGACGCTGCAAAGAGATTTTTTTAAATCACACGTTATGTCAAATATTTGTTTTCATCTTTATGATCACTAAAACGTAGAAGAGAGAGTCATTGCTGGCTAGCTGTCGGACACACAGCTTTACTGGAATCGAGCAAAATGTTTGCTTACCAAGAGCAATATGTTCACAAGAAAGAAATGTCCTTTGTTTTTCTTGCCTGACCACAGCTCCCTTTCCAAGTCGTTGCATCTGACCACGGTGCTTCGGCAAACAGGAATCTGTCTCAGAACATACACTGTGAGTAATCAGTCTGCGTCGGAAACTGCGCCCCGTCAGTTCGCCCACATCTGTCCCTTTCCCTCTAATTCAACCCTACTTCTGCTTTGCCAGGAACTCAGAACTCTTTGTCTCACAATTCGTCATGTCGTTCTTTAGCTCCATTCATTTTCTTACTGACCAAGTTCATTGTATAGCTTTCTTTTCGCCCTAAAGCTGCATCGCTATATAGGATGTGCTTGTAAGAAGGTGGCCCCTTCATTTCTGCCACAGAAGAGAAAACCATATAAAAGCAGGATATCTGTCTCAGCCGGACGCACAAGTAATGATGAAGCTAAGCAGCTATTTGTCTTGGTTCTTTAAGAAAAGTTAACAAATTTCTGTCAGCATCCATGAAATACACCAGTATCCAATAACCTACATAAAACATCGGGCATTTATGACTTACTCAAAGAGGTCTTTGCTTCTAGAAGCAATAACATCTCAAGCATTACCTGCCTGAGTAGAAATGACGTCCCCAAACTGAGAAGTTCACTCCTGTCTGAGTTAGAAACCAGCTGTGAGACAATTTAAGGGGCAGCAGAGACTGTGGGTCATTTGTTACGAAATGATGCATTATGTAATTTCATTGAACGTAACGTCCACGTGAAACATCTGTTCCTGGGCTACATAGTAAAACGGACCCTTTTTGCCCTGACTGCTTAGAAGACAAGGGTCCTCCTGTTCCTACACTGCCACCCGTCATCCTTTTTGTATAGATTGTATTTCATGATGATGTATTACTTCTGCCGGAAATGAGTAGTCATCTAACGAATGCCCACATTCATCCTATACAAAAGAGGGCTATAAGCAGAAAGATCACCAAGGTCACGGCCAATTCTACTGACAGCTGAAAACAGTTAAACTGACTTTTGCCACCCAGGCAGGGGCCAAGAGGGAACAAAATAAACTAAAATTTCCTTTTAGATCAGAAATCTGAACTCATCCAGGCGTTTCCCTCCTTTCTCCCCCTACTCCCCTCCCCCCCCTTCCCCCACAATAAAATCAGATGAGTCACAACATCTTTATGAAATCTTCTCATTTCTTCTGTGTGGGATCCAGGGGAGGTATTTAAGGAATGTAAGGATGAAGGCATTTGTCAAAAGGATCCTTGTCGAAAGAAGTCTTACTACAGTACAGCTGGCAAGACCCTAAAGTATCGGCCCCTCAAATCACCCATGATATAGTACAGACTAGGGTGGGTCTGACATGACAGTTGGGGCTGTTCTCCATTGGAACAAGTGGAGATGCCACTCAAGTCTTTTAGGTCTACTCCTGTATAAACAATTCTCTGGATCCCTGATAACTGCTATAAGTTTAATAAATAAACAAAAACAGGAATTATTGCATATAGTCAGCCCAATTTTGTCTATGATTGGACTACAGCAAAAACTATTTCTTGGAGATTACAAAAATTGACCATGCTGACTACATGAATGGGGTTATCACGTAGCTTTAAAAAAAAACAAAAACAAAAACCTGGGAATAAACTTCTTTTAATATAAATACATACCAAAGCAGCAGAATCACTGCTGTGTCATGTCAACTTAGAAAGTCAGTACAGAACTCATAACCAGAATGTTATGTCTGTGCTCTTCCGCATGGGCGGTGGACACTGTCACTTTCTATACCGAGGTGCTTTGCTGACGCTGGTCTTGTGACTCCATGAAGGACAGGGGCCTGTGATCTCGGCACGGAGGAGACACTCACTAGATATTTGTTTAATGGACGAGGTCGGAGTGGGAATGACCATCGCTGTCTGCCGGGACTCTGCACGGTGAACACCTCTCCACTATCTGCCAAGGTGCTCTGGCTCTGCTCTTCCTCAGAATGACTCTATTTGGCCTGAGTGGCCAGTGCGGCTGGGCTGTGTCATGGGCTGGGTGTAGTCAGAATGCCATTCAGCCCACATGCTGCACGAGGGAAGAAAAATGTGCTTTTCCGTGGTGATTTCCGGGCTCCTAGAAGCGCCATGGCTCTACTGTTATTGGGCTCTTTTAGGGCTGAGTCTATGTTCATTTGGAAATTAAGAGCAATGACAGGACCTGAAGACTGCTGGGAACCATGACGGGTCAGGACTATAGGCAATGTCCAGCCCCTGGAAGTTACAACACTGTCCCAGAGGACAGACCCAGGTTGTCTGGTTCCAAATAAGGAGGTGCTTCCTAGAGCCATGAGACAGGGAACATGCTGCCCCGTGAGCCGCCTGCCCGCCTCCGCCTGGTGCAAGCTGCGTCTGGCCGATGGCCTGTGATGCACAGCAGACAACAACATCAGGTGGGAAACTGGAAGAGATGACCTCTAAGGTCTCTTCCAATTCTGTTTTCAATTTTCTCATGTCTCTACAGATTCGGAGGGGTCAAAAGATGCTGTGAATTGTGGTCGTTCTGTCCCTGGAATTTTCTCAGACGCTGCAGATGCCATCAGTGAGGCCCCTGGTGGCGGGCACAGTCCAACAGCAGGACACGCCTTCCTCGTCACTGCCGGCACCAGTGTCCTCACTGCCCGTTCCACTGCCTGCAATCCCCAAGCAAGGGCTCACGGATGCTGCCACCAAAGGCAGCAGGAGTGGGTAGGACGCCTTGGTGGCCTTGGTGGGGTTCTGAGATATGCATGCCATTGCTGGCTTCTTGGGCATAGTCTTGGGTTGTGAGTTTGATGTCTTACCATTCTCCAAAACCCAGGTCCACTCTGCCTTCCTCTGTGCAGCCTTTCTAAGAAACCTCCTGGTCGAAATCAGAGAATGCTTCCTCAGAACACCGAGAAGCCTCTTCTACCTCCTTTATAGTACCACTCCCATTGTTAAGGGCCCGTCTTAGCTCCCCTACGAGGATCCCGTAAGGCGGGATTCATGAGAGCCTTGAGAAAGTGAAGGAGAATGAACTCTTTCCATCTGGGAGGCCCCAACAGTTGGGTTGAAGCAATTGGGTAAGTGCACCAAGGATGGGTTTGGGAGGTAGTAGCTTTCATTCAATATTAGTTCATTCATTCATACATGGCAAGCATGCACAGTGTTATTTGCTGTGTGTTAGACACTGAACTGGATTCCATGATCCTTATAAAACCCAGACCTTAGTATGTCATTTTTCTGTTTAATTATGTCTAGTGGAGAAATACAAATGAAAACAAAAGTGATATAGAGTTGTCTCAACAATTGGATTATGATTAAAATTGAAGTCAGGTAAAGCCAAGTACTTTCAAGGGCTTGGGGAAATGGAGTCTCACACACTCCTGGTGGGAGCATCAATTCCTATGCTTTGGAGGGCCTTGAGGCAGTGTGGGCTAAAATTAAAAACGAGCAGACCCTCTGCTCTAGCAACTACTGGCTCCAAGTTACCTCAAAGGAAATTTCTTATGACAATGAGGAGGCATATCAAGGACATTTGTTGAGCTTTGTTTGGAATAGAGAAGAAAATTCAAAAAAATAAAAATAAAAAACTTTAAATGCCCATCAAAAGGAAATAGCTAAACTGTGATATATCCATGTTCTGGAATACTACGGAGCATTAAAAACATGAAATCTGTCTAGATTTCCTAACATGAACAGACGTTACATAACATGTTATGGGATGAATTGTGTCTGCCCAAAATTTGTATGCTAAAGTTCTAACCCCTCAGACTCAGACTGTCTCTATATTTGGTTATAGAGTCTTTAAACAAGTAATTAAGGTCAAATGAGATGGGCCCTAATCCAATATGATTGGTGTCCTTATAAGAAGAGGAGATAAGAACACAGATAAACATGCGCAGAGAGAAGTCCATGTGAGGTCACAGGGAGGAGACAGTCATTGGCAGACACTGGAGCGAGGACACTCAGAAGACACTAACCCTGCTAACACATTGATCTGAGACTTCTAGCCTCTAGAACTGTGAGAAAATAAATTTCCATTGTTTAAGACATCTAGACTGTGGTACTTTGTTACAGCAGCCCTAGCAAACTCATACACCACATCAGGCATTTTCTATGGGTGTGTATAGACATATGTAATGTATAGACGACTGAGTGGAAGCATCCACCCCAGTCTGATAACAGCGGTTACCTTTGGGTAGGGATTGGAGTTGAGCATAGTGGTTGAAGGGGAATTTAGCCTTTAAAATAAGGTTTTATTTTTTACAATGAGGAAGCACTCGTATATTATTTGCATATCCATTTTTTCAAAAACCCTCTTCCGTGGCACTTCATTGAATATAGTACGCAACGTGCGTCACCACCTGGGCTCGACAATCTCTGGGACTTTATAAAACGTCTGCTGTCATCCTCCAACCCCTGCACACGTATCTGCCCCACTAGAATGCCCCATCTCTCTAATGCCTCCATACCTCTGGTGTCCCCTCTGCCTAGAATGCCTTTTCCCTTTCTTTAAGCCTAGGTGCTGATTTTCATCTTTCAGAGCCCAGCTCAAATGTCACCCGCCTCATAAATATGGAAGTCTTCCTCAGCTGGTTTTCCCCAGGCCCACTTTTCTGTTCTTTTAATGTCTTATTCATATCTGTATTCGTAGAGACTGATCAGTGCCTACAGCCAAGTAAATGCTCAATAAATGGTTCCAAGTTCAAGGATGGCAGGCATTTTTACCAGGTTGCTTTTCCATCCAGCACATCTCAAGGGTCCAACATCTCATGCTGTGTGTATTAACGGACTCCCTAGAGACTAGGACTGCAATCATGCCATGAGTGCGGTCCTAGCTTTTAACAGTTTCTTTGACACAAAGGGACAACTATATTTCTGGGCTAGCCAGGCCCTATTGCTTTCAATTCTAGTGAAGTAAGTTGAGAATGTATTGCAATTTTTTTTTTTTCAAATTCTTTGCCCATAAAGGTCTTCAATTACTTAACCCACAATAGACCCAAATCAAAAATTCTACTGAGCTCTGACTGAATGTCTCTGATAAGCCAGTCCTTACCTCTTCATTGGCTTGGGCGAGCATTCCCTCTCCAGATTGGAGGACGTGTGTTTCACGTGCATTGCGTTGTAGGATGTATGAGTATAGTCATTTTCGTCGCTGTAGTCAGGACCGAGCAACGTCCGGGCCCAAGTGCCCATGTCATAAGGAGGAAGGGTTCCTCCAAATTCAGAGGGCAAAAATTCAGGGTGGATGAGCTGGTGAAGGCTGTTTAGATTATTTCCATGCAGGAAGATCTAGAAAGAAAAAAATAATTAGCAATAAAAAAAACCCAAAACATATGACCGAGTATTTAATCTAATACACAATTTAGCGGTGACAAATTGGATGCGCTGCTGGTGATCATAGTGTTTAAGGAGGCATTCAATTTCGTGTCTGTGGTTTTGTCTTTATGAAATGTTAATTTATTGCTCAGAAAAGGGGCTGAATTAATAGTCCTTAAAAATGAAGTTTATGAACAAATTGGGTATTATTTGTCCATGGCCCAGATTTACACATACAATCATCTCCTGATTATCCCTCTTGATGAAGGAGCAGTGATGGGGACTGTCCAAACCTCCGGTCATGCTTCGCACGCACCTCTGCATTGCTCTGTTCTCCCCCTGGAGCACTCTCCGCCCGCTGTGCCCCTTCACTCCCCCATTACTCCCAGGCCTATACCATGTGGCAGCTTCTTCCTAAATCTGTCCCAATAACACCTGTCCACTCTGGTTCTCCACCCCTCTTCTTCCAATTAACTCTTTATTATCTGCTGACTTCTATTTTTTTCCGATGTGTTCATTTATGTTTTGCCAGACAGCAGAAAGAGAAGGATTCACAGAGAAAGGGCTGGTGTTTTCTTACTCTTCTAATATGCTCCGAGCTCCCAGGGTGATGTGGGCACAAGGTAAAAGTGCCATTAACTATTAGTCAATTAAATTGAAAACCGTGGCCTGGGAATTTATAGTGGAATATTTTTGCAGACATTTTCCATTCATGTCTGGATTGAG